GTTGTGATGGCCTCGGTGGCCGTTGCGGTAGAGCCGCCGCCGCCGGACGCGGAGACGCTGTCTAACGTGCCGCAGACACTTTCCGGCGATTGCGGCGGAGGAGGGAAGGAGTGCGGGAAGCCGAGGATACAGAGGCCGAAGTCGAGGAAGGCGGAATCGTGCACGGTGAAGTGCGTAAACACCTGCATTCGCGGCGGCGACGGAGCACCCGGCGAAGGTCCTCTCAATATCAGAAGGCATGTTCTTCTCTTTTTACCTCTTAATCTGTGGTTAGTGCCAGTAATCACACTATATTAGGTGAATAGAGCTCATTATGATTCCAGTAATATAGTGTGTGTGTGTATATATATATATATACTGAGTCGATGAAAGAAAAATAGAGGGATTATTCTTGAGAAGAACCTAATCTTATGCTGATTCAATGGTCGGTTACAAGTCTTGTCTTCACATTTGGCTCTTGGTAATCACTAAGCGCGTGTGATTAGTGTTGAGTTAATCACTACTGTTGGGTAATTAAGGAGAATAACAGAGTGATGGGGGTGGCATTTTAATTTTATTTTAATAGGCCATTGGTGGTGTTCAAGCAAGGATTCAGAAGCCGTAATTACTGGTAAATCTCTTCTCCTTTTATGAAACTTTCTGAAATTCCTTAATGCCGTCATAAAGTATGTCTTTTTTTTTTTCTGATCATAGAATATGTTTTTTTTGGGTCAAAGCTTGGTGGAATGCTCTGATATCTGCAACTTAATAGGAGATGGTGACTACGGACCTTGAAATGGCTTTTATTGTTAATAGGAAAGGGCATCCATTTGTAATCATATATTTTATATTTATATATATATATGATCATATGAGTGTGACTACAACAACGGTGGATAATTGGATTCACAAACTTTCAACTCCAAAGAATGAATGATCAAAAGACACATAAAACACACACCAGAAAAGAAAAGAAGATTGGAGAGAGAGAGAGAGAGAGATTGAGAGAGAGAGAGAATGGACACAAAAGCAATGAAAGCGCAACTACTTCTCATTCAGACAGGAAGCTCTGCGTCAAAACTTCATCACATGGGAGACGACGAAACTCGTCTGCGATACTCAGCAAGAGCCCACAATGGGAAGGTGTTTCTGTAAGCACTGTAGTGCAACATGCAGTTCTTCATGAACGCCCCCGTTATCTCCTGCATCCATACATATATAATTCACCATTCAAAACCTTACTCTGAATCTAGAGTAAGACATGCTGTAAAAAAAATGATCCAAATGGCTTAAAACCCAAGTTGAAATTAAGAGCATTTGGGTCCAGGGTTTGCTTATATACACCCTTTGCAAGAATCTTGAAGTTTTTAACTTTTCAGCAAGTCACAATTTCCTATTAACCGGGTTTCGCATTTCAAAGCGTACCTGTTGAGGAAAATCTCCCTTTTCCAACTGAGAATTGATGATCAGCTTCGCAGCACGGTGAAGAGGATTCGGATCTCTCTCAGCCTGTTATGTAAAGAGCATATGAAACAATGTCTTTTAAGATTATCATGTGATGCTTACCAATGGTGAAACAAGCAACTTATTCTTGATAGTTTGAACCTGTCCCGAATGAAGTAGACCCATCATAGCCCATGAGGTTTGGACAAGGTTTGATCTTTCCCCGTCTAGTTGCACATATCTCTGCACACGAAGTATATATTGTTGGCAGGAACCAGGTAAAAGGTGAAATCGATTTGTCTTAAAACTTTACGGTTAGAATACAAGTCTACAACTAACCTTTTCAGGACATGATAGATAGCTTTCTCCCCAACCTCCGTTATCTTTCTGTGTTGTAAGAAGGAAATGAACGCCTTTGCGTGTGACCAGACAGTTGTCGTAAGTCTTACCAGCGGCTGCTAGGCCTGTAAGAGCAAACCATGTACCATATGTGAAACAAACTCCCCAGCTTCCATACCTGTCATTTGAAAGAACAAGTTTTTTCATAGGTTTTGCTGAATATTTGAGAATATTTTCGGACCGTATCTGTGATAGTAAGGTACCATGAACCGTCAGGCATTTGTATGCGTTGTATGTATTCCACGGCTTTCTCTATAAAGATATCGATCTCTTTTGCCCTGTGATCTGGGTACAGTTTCCTGAACAGAACCAATGCTTGGATTGCTGATGAAGTACATTCGGCATGCTGATACTCAATCATAGTGTCGGCGAAAAATTCAATGGCATTGAACAACTGAAAAGCGAACAAAAGATGTTTCAGGAACTTTATCATAAAATCTCACTATTTTTTGCGGCAAAACATCTTTGATGGTTTCAGCTCTTACTTCCAACCATCCGTATGCACGGGCCGGCTCCCATGCGGTCACACCTCCATTTTTGCTCTGCAACAAGTTCTCCGTATAGAAAATTAGCAGATGTAAATTTTCTAATCACAGCCGGAAAATTGGAGAACTTTTGAGGAGATGGGTCCAATGAATGATAATGCCTCACCTGTAAAGACAGTATGATATTAACAGAATCATAGAGTCGTTCGGGATCCATTTTGGGGCCTACAATGTCCGACGGCATAGTTGACAGCATCAGGCAACACTGCAGAAGCAGGAAGGATATGTAAATTAATACATGATTGCTAAAGTCATTGTAATTTGCTCTGCTCCAATGATCTGACAACCTTTAAGCCATCAGCTGTGCAGTCTGAAACTTGCCATCCATGATCTCGGTCTGAGAAAGTCCATGCCCCTTTGGAAATATGACGACACATGCTCTTGAAGTCATCAGAAGGATTCTCTGTAACCTTCGGATTCCAATTAGGTATGAAACATTCAATTATTCAGTCAAATGTTTTTAAGTTGCAAGAATATACAACAGCTGATACCGAACCTGAGACATCTTTATGAAGTTGTGTCCTCTCTTGAGTACATCCGAGATCTCATTGGAGAGGTTACTTGCAAGTAAAGCTTGAATCGCAAACCCTGTATCCCATTGCTGACTTCCAAAGGTCTGCATAAATCCATAACAATAAGACATTTTCTATTTTTGATTTTTACCAATTCTTAGCTAGTAGACATAAAGATTGGATTTTATAATATCTCTTACCTGCATTTTCATTCCGTCTTCTGCAATCCACAAGAAATCAGGGATTCTAGCAAGGTGTTTCTTGAAATAATCCCCATTCGGATCTTCAACCCAACAAGCCAACATGCATAGTGCCTGCAGAAAGAAGTACCGAGTTTTACAACATGCAACTCAAAGAAATCATTTCAAGCATATCCATTCTCAATAGGGCGCTAACCTTTTCAATACATCCAAGGGTGATATAACGACTATTCTCGTCTTCATAATGTATGTGTTTCATTGCCACCTTAAGAGCCTTTTCCCTAAGAAGCTTGTTCAATGGCCAACGTGTAAGGAAAGGCTCCATAAAGGTATGAAGACAGTCCCATATCAGATCTTGAATCAAAGGATGGGGATAGTACAAATCTTCCTACAAGGAAAAAAAATAGGAAAAGTTTCTCCAAATGTAACTTCTAGAAAACGTTTTTTGAGGAAGAATATGGATCGAGTTTACACCTTTGCACATAGATGACGAGCTTTGTTCCAGTTGATTGTTTCATAAGGCTGTAAGTACAGTTCCTCACGTAGTTGTAGAGCAAGAGGTGTTATTTGAGCTACAAATCTCTTCCCATAAAGATACGACAAAGGCATGTAAACCGTCCGACAGTAGCACAACATTTTTGCTGCATTTTCCATTTGCATGAATATTATAAAAAAAATCAACTTGTAAAATGCAGTTTCTGATGATCAATTATCATATCTCTAAAGAGCAACAGATAAGGAGAAAAAAAAGGAAGAGAAAATCAACATTCCCTTACAAATCTCTTCCCATAAAGATACGACAAAGGCATGTAAACCGTCCGACAGTAGCACAACATTTTTGCTGCATTTTCCATTTGCATGAATATTATAAAAAAAATCAACTTGTAAAATGCAGTTTCTGATGATCAATTATCATATCTCTAAAGAGCAACAGATAAGGAGAAAAAAAAGGAAGAGAAAATCAACATTCCCTGTAGCTTATCAACAGAAAAACAGAACCTAGACCAGTAGAAAACGGGAACATCACGAATTTAATTGCAGAAACGAAATCCTAGTAACCTGTATCTCCAAATCAGTTTGTAGAAATAAGTATCAAATTCAAAATGTTACTAAAACAAACCAGGATGTATCGGAAGAAAGGAAGGAAGGATCCAGAACTCAGGGGGCATCGGATTGCTTCCAGACCAATCAAAGACACCGAGTATCTACAAACACCATACTATAATCAATACATCCTCCTAGTTATTTTATGGTAAACTAATGAATCGAGCTATTACCGAAAGCCAAGCTTTTCCCCAAGAAGGAATGTACGTTACGCCGCCATGGCCAAGAATCCATTGTCGGGCCCTTCTACAAGCG